TTCTCATACCGGGGAATTTGATGATATGATATCGGATGCATCGTATCGAAATTTTGAACCTTGATTTCAATACAATGCCGTCCCAACAAACCATTGTAACTATACTTTGAAAACATCTTCCTTGTCCTTCATGGTGAGATATTACATTTCTGATGCATGTATGATTGCAATGGCTCATTGGGGACAAGATCTAGACTCCATTTGCATCCCCATACATTTACACCAGTGCAAATGAAACTTGCACGGCAAACAAACAGTACTTAAAGTGCAGTTAAGGTTAGACAAAGTAACATGTCATATATCATTAATTAACTGAAATTAATTCTAAGACTTGACAAAGGAAGCTATGTCATCGGAAATTGCCTCGAAAAGATCAGGTAGACTAAATTGTCTCAACAGTCGTATATTCCTGGTCAATATTGTATAGGAACGTGGGGAGTTTTTGTTTCCTTTATTGTGCTAAATTCCAACGCACGCTCTTACTCTTTCATAATTCTTACCAATTGTCATTTAAGATTTTCAAATATAGATAATTTCTGTAACATTCTAACCTCCCCATCTAAACACAACTTTTCAATTCATCAGTCAATGCAGTTAATTTCTGGTTTCCATAACCAATATATAGGGGGAGAGAGAGAGAGAGAAAGAGAGAGAGAGATCAGTCTCAGGTCTCACCTGTGCAAGGCAGAAGATCGAGAAGGAAAGAAAGAGAAAGAGAAGCCATGGAAGAAGAAGCAGCAGCATGCGACATAGGACTGAGTCTTGGACTAGGCCACCGGGGAGAATTCGTGCCGAGGCGTAACCGGCAGAAGCCTGCCGCTCCCGCCCAGTTCTATGCCTGCTTGTTCCCATCTGATCAGCCCAAGGAGGAAATCATAGAAGAAAAAGTTTATGTAGATCGATCTGGTTTGAAGAGAATCGAAGAAGTAGATGATCATCACAATAACAATAGCACTAGTAACAACAGCAGCAGCAGCCACACCACCACAAACGACGATAGCAATAACAAGAATAAGATGAGAAAGAAACTCAGGCTTACAAAWGAACAATCTATGTTGCTCGAGGACAGCTTCAAGCAGAATAGAACCCTTAATACGGTACTCAAATTTCCTTATTCTAGATCTYTGTCTGTTGATACCCAAGAGCAGAATGATTTAATTCAAATTAAGAGTTGTAATTAATGAATTAAAAAAAAAAAAAGTATGCTGAATTAATTGGTGGCAGGCCCAGAAGCAGGAATTGGCTGAGCAACTGAATCTGCAGCCACGACAGGTTGAAGTTTGGTTTCAGAACAGAAGAGCGAGGTATTAATAATTAATGCTTCATTTGGCAGTTTCTTTCATGATTCTGACTTAAGTTTTGTTTCTTTTAATGGGGTTTATTTTGTTGATTTATCGTGCAGGACGAAGTTGAAACAAACAGAGATAGACTGTGAATTCTTGAAGAAATGCTACCAGACTCTCAGCGATGAGAATCGGAGGTTGAAGAAGGAAATACAGGAACTGAGATCAACCAATCTTAATACGTCTCCGTTCTATATTCAACTTCCGAAGGTGGCCACACTGGCAATTTGTCCGTCTTGTGAGAGGATAGCCAAGGCCGGTGAAGGAAAGAACGATGCCTGAGTGAAAGTTGTACAGTGGGATTGATGATTCCCTTGACATGTTGAAAGAGATCTAGTCTATAACTAGTACTGAATCTCTATTAACCAGGATTTTAGACATTAAGACACATTGATTAGTTTGGAATCATGAAAAAATACAGAGAATTAATGCCATCCTCAATCAAAATTTCATTTGGAAGGGTCTAAAAGTATGGGAGTGCAATGAGTTGAATGCAAATTCTGTTTTGTTCTGGTTTTAAATTTTTCATTGTTTTTTTTATTTATTTATGGTGTAAATGAAGTAAAATATAACTTTTTCTTATTTTTTATGAATGAAGTAAAATAAAACTTAAAACAAAGGGAAATCATAAATTAAGTRCAAGTGCATCAGAATTTACACCTTTTCATTTTTCCTCTCAGGCATTTGTAYYAATGCAAATGAAATGGCATTGTAGAGAAGCATATCCTCKCTTTTTAAGATGCATGTAAGGCCCTGTTTGGCAATATTTCATACTTCATACTATTCATAGTACCAAAGTACATAATACCTATAATACTTTTACTTAATTTTGTAAACATGTGAAAT